TGGGCAATCATTTAGCCTACTGACAAATGTAAGGCCTAGTAGGTGAGTGGAGATTGTTGATGACGCCAGTTGCCAGGTGGCTAATAACACCTTATACTACAGCACCCTTTCCTTGCAATGGGCCATATAGGTGACAGGCCCTCCCACCCCTGAAATTGCATAAAATTGTTAAAACGTCTCTAATAGCTTTGCAGTGTTCACAGAGCCACTGAGCTCTGCACTACACTGACGGGCATAATATACCAAAGTTCTATAGTGCTAGTGGCGTCTATTTGGGTTCCTTGCCAGCTCCTGAAATCTGTCCAACTGAAAACGAGACGATGCATCTGCTGTGCCATTATCAACCCTGGGAACATGTTTGGAAGAGGAAACAGGTGTTAATGCTTAAACATTATAGTACAGATGCCCTCACCAGCCTCATAACTTGAGTGTGATCTGCAGGGCAGGCGATCAATAACGTGTACCGCCACCGTGTTGTCACACCATAAGCGCACCCTGTTGTTAACAAACTGTTCCCAAATGGCCACTGCCACCAAAATTGGAAAAAATCCCAGAAATGTTAAATTCTGCTCTATCCCTTTTTCTGTCTAGATCAGTGGTCTCCAATCTCTGTAAGCACAGGATCACTGTTTGAATTTAGTGCAGCACAGGATCTACCTCAAAGAAAATGTAGAAATAACAGTAATCACACAAACCCAAACACTGTTGCCCCACCCCTGCCCTTCCCCTTCTCTGCGGCCCCGCCCCACTCACTCCATCCCCCTTCTGTCTGTCGCTTGCTCTCCCCAACCCTCACTCACTCTCACTAGGCTGGGACAGGGGATTGAGGTGTTGGCTCTGGGCTGGGGCCGAGGGGTTTGGAGTGTGGGAGGGGCTCCTGGCTGAGCCTGGGGCAGGGGGTTGGGGTACAGGAAAGGGTTCAGGGTGCAGGCTCTGGGAGGGAGTTGGGGCTAGAGGTTGGGGTGCAAGAGGGGGTGTAGGCTCTGGGAGGGAATTTGGGGGGGGCTCGGGGTTGGAGGGGGATGTTGAGGTGTGGGTGCCAGCCAGTTGCTGGCACAATGGGGCTAAGGCCGCCGCTCCCGGAAGTGGACAGCATGTCAGGCAGCGGCTCTTGGAGAGAGGGATGGAATGGGAGGTGGCTTCGCCCGCTGCCCCCATCTGCAGGCATAGTCCACGCAGTTCCCATTGGCCGGGAACAGGGAACCATGGCCAATGGGAGCTGCGGGGCGGTGCCTGCAGGTGAGGGCAATTCCTGCCTCCATGTGGGGCCAGGGCAGGCAGGGGAGCCTGCCTTAGCTCTGCTGTACCACTGGACTGTTAGCGGACGATCTACTGGTTTGGCTGCAGCAGGGTTGCCACCCCTAGACTGAGATTGACTGTCAGAGGCTCCATGATTGATCAGTCAGTTGTGATCTATTGGTTGGTGACCACTGATCTAGATGGAGAGCCACTTCCGTCTGCACAACCTGCCTTGGTAAAATACTCCCAAATTTGTACCTCTTAAGTATCACAGTGGATCTTTAAATCAGCATTGAATATCCATTCCTCCCTCCACAATGACACTCCATTAAAATGGATCTAACTGTTCCCACATCCTCAAATTTCTCCTTTGTCTCGCTAGTAACTCATAAAATGATGAGCTCTAGCTATGCCTGTGGTGGCCGCTGCAAGCCGAATGCAGAATGCCCATCTTTGGGCTGCTGCTTGACAGACACAGTTAAGATGCCCAATAATAGATTGTAGCTCATTGAATGTAATTTTCCAAGCTGCTGTACCTCTCCCAATCAAGCCTAGTAGCTGCTGAAGCTTATCCTGACGGAGTCGTGATATACCTGCTATTGTATCTGGCTCAATACCGAGCTATCACTGTAAGGCCTCTATTTTTTCCCTGGTAGAAGTACCCCTGTTTTTTAGCCAAGGCTTGAAAGACGTCCATCAGGCTAACACACACTTGTTTGAATTTGCCCTCCCAATGACAAAATGTCATGTTAAGTAATGCCCTACATGCTGCAAAGCGGTTTCCTGCATTGCTTCTAAATTTCTCAAATGCTGAACAGGATATTGCCCATCCTATTGGCATAGCTTTTAAAAAATAATTGCCCTTCGAAAGAGAAACCCAAAAGGTTAAAGTCAGAAGGATGCATTGGCAGGAGTGTGACTTGATATCACATTTGATCATGAGTGCCTCTGGGCCACAAGACCTAACTGTGCACAGCCTCCTCAACGGAGGAATAGCGCATGCAGCACAAGGCTGGGTCTATTCCATCATTAACTGAGCTACCCTGTGGGTATGACAGGTGGTAAATTAAGCAATATTCATCCAGAGCTGCCTTAGGGACCAAGCCTAGGGGAGAAATCTGCAAGTTCCATATTGGTAAATGATTGAATGGCTCTGCTACTCTATTCTCCTTTAATTCTTGTGTAATCTAATATAGAATCATAGAATATCAGGGTTGGAAGGGACCTCAGGAGGGATTGCCCCTCAAAGCAGGACCAATCCCCAGACAGATTTTTGCCCCAGATCCCTAAATGGCCCCTTCAAGGATTGAACTCACAACCCTGGGTTTAGCAGGCCAATGCTCAAACCACTGAGCTATCCCTTCCCCTTTCCCTTCCCCACTAAGGAAGTCAGATTTTTTGACATCACATTACTTCTTTCCCCATGAAGCAGGTCCTAAACCCTGCAGTAAACCCACCTCATAAATGTGCTTCATCTGTCTTTTTAGGGTAATCAAAAGGCACACCCTTAACATCTCCAGCTTAATTGAAAATGGTGCTCTTGTACAGCCCCTCATTTTCAACTCCCCTCCCCTTCTTGTGCCTTAGCCCCCCTGCCCTGCTCCTGCCCAAGGGGTCTGTGGGCAGCACCTGACTTATCCCTCATTCTTTTTCCCCCAATGTGGCCTTTCCTGCCTGCTCTAGGAATTGTGGGCTGTTTTGGCAAGCATGCCTACATTTGCAGAGGTTACAAAAACACCCACTTTCATTAAATGCCCAGCCTTATCAGCTTCTGGCAGGTGTAGTGTGGAATGCACAGGTCCCTGTGGTGTCATCCACTCTAATCATGGTGTATGATGATGTAGTATTTCACACTGGATCACAGTTTGTGTTGCTGCCCTCAATTTAAGCTGTTCATCATAGTTAAACCAAGCCATGCTGCCGAATGTATTATACCCTCCTGATTACAGTAAAAGCTGTGTTATCCGGCACTTTACAACAGGAAAGCTCTATAAACCGGCATTTCTGATCTTCATTGAAAGTCTGGTTTATAGTTCGGTTGCTGCGGGGCCGGCAGGCTCCTTACCTGGCTCCGTGTGGCTCCCTGGAAGCTGTGACATGTCCCTGCCATTCCTAGGTGGAGGAACAGCCACGAGGGGTTCGGAGTGTGGAAGGTGGTGTGGGGCGCAGGCACTGGGAGGAAATTTGGTGCGGGAGGGGATAGGTAGTAGGGGCGTGGGAGGCATTCTGAGGTGCCTGATCTGGGCGGTGCTCACCTTGGGTGTCTCCCTGCAAGTGGGACCTTCTCCCTGCTGCTCTTAGGGGGAGGTAGTTCCTGGAGCAGCAATTCTGTCCCATGAGTTCACATTCCCTATCAGTGTGAGAGTTGTAGAGAACTCAGCTATCTCCTCCCGCTCCTGATTAAGGGTTCCTGCCCCCTGGCGAGGGGTCTGCCCTTCCAGACTATTGCCTGTCTCCTATTATTACCATCTCCAGTCCCCCCCACCCATGAAAGCTCCCAGCTGCTCCAATAACTGAAGGTTAGCTTGCAACAGCTGTGTAATGCCACTGACTTCTATAGGTGAGTTTACCCCAGATATCCCTGACACAGCTCCTAGGACACTAGATCTCTTCCCCCTGTCCCCCCTCCACCTATCTTAGATCTGTTACCCCACTCGGTTTGGTGTCTGATCTTCGGGGGGGAAGGGTAAGTGACCATTCTCCCCTCCCCCTATATATCCCCTGAGAGGAGAAGTGGGCAAGTTCCTCAAACCCTGCCGAGGTCCCTCCCACAGTCATGATTTGCAGCATTGGATGGAAAAGGACTCCCTTTCACACCCCGCCCCTGCAACCTCCCACTGGTGCTGATTACAGTCATCCCTGCTAGCCATGTAGCTCTGCTGTCCTGCAATCTGTTCAAATGTCCTGGCTCTAGGTGATCCACTACACCTTGTAAGTCTTGCGGTGGCCCCACTGCCTGTTTGACAGGCTTCCTGCTTCTGATATACTTAAAAATGTTTTTTACTATTACTTTCTTTGTGTTTAGCAAGCTGCTTCTCAAATTCTTTCTTGGCTTGACTTATATTTTTCTGTTTTACTTGCCAGATTTTGTGCTCCTTATTTTCTTCATTAGGATTTGACTTCCAAATTTTAAAGGATGCTTTTTTTTCCCTCCACTGACCTCCATCACTCTGCTCTTTAGCCATGGTGGCATTTTTTTGGTCCTCTTACTGTCTAATTTTGGTTGTACGTTTAGTACAATGAATGTGGGTATAATTACATATAGACATAATGCATAAAATTAGAGTAACCACCACTTGTATGGGTTTACTTTTGACACTGAAACAGAGGCAGTTGTTGCCTGTTAAATTGTTTGTCATGTTGTCCATAGAATATGAAAGCAAGTAATCTAAGTAGACTGATGTGAAATACCAATAATTGGAAACAAAATCTATACCAATAAAAACGATCTGTAGTAGGCTTACCATCTGTTTCTATTATGTTGAAAAATCCTTATCCTTCAATGCAATTTTTAACAGTGACTTATGGATTTCTAGGTAAAAATGGTCACCACATTGTCTAGTGAAATGTGAAACCTAGCACCTGTGGCAGCTAAATCAGTATTTGTTTCTTTCTCATCTCACTCTTTATGACAGTAGTGCTGTGAATTTGAGGACAGAGTTTGACCTTGGTTCTAGGTTAGTAAGGTACTCTACGGCAAATAAATGGATGGATCTCTTTTTCAAAAATAGCTTAACTGGTTAAATTTTTTATTTCTTTAGATGACAGCATTGAATGCCAGACTGGATCAAAGAAGGAAGAACAAAATGACAAAGAAAAGAAAGATGAAGAGGAAACTCCACTACCTACTTATAGGGCCAAATCGATTGTTGAGAGTTGGGTGTGGGGTAAACAACCAGGTATTATGAATGTTTCAGTAATTCTTTTTATGGCATTAAGTACTTGGAACAATTAGAACTAATTGGATCAAATGCATAAGTTGAGTGCATTTGTCACATTAGCTGAATACTTCTGCTAGGCTAAATGATCAGTAGCAAAATAGTTAACAATGTTGACATTTAAATTTGTCATCTTTAGGTTTTGGTGTTAACTTCATTAACATGAGCAAAGAGAATTCACACCTCTCTGAGCTTTTGTTTCAGGTGTGTCCAGAGATTTGGACAGACTTTACTACATCAGTGTACTAGTTTACCTTGCACTATGCAGTTAGGTTGTCTCGTGTCAACCTATTTGTGCACGTCTCTACATTTAAATTTGTCTCCAACAGACGTAAGCACCCTGTTATGGTGATTGCAGTAAAATCGCTCCCTGAACGGTGGAGAGCCATGGCTGACCTACTGAGGTTAATGCAGTGGAAGTATAGATCCTGTATGACCTGTGTTAACCCCAATAGTTCTCCAGGAGCTGTCCCACATGCCCCATTCCGTTTAAATGCTCTGCCCAGGGATCATGGAGACCAGAGGCTATCCCCTTCTTTAATCTCCCCCACATATTTTTTTGAAATGCCTTTTCCTGATTGCCCACCTCGCAGCTCTCCCTTGCTGTGTGTAACTGACCATGCTAGTTGCACGCACTAGATGCGTTCCCCTGCCTGGAGTAAACAGGAGGTATTAGATCTCTTGGGCCTGTGAGGAGAAGATGCTGTGCAGGCACAACTACTGATGAGCTGTAGAAACGTGGATATCTATGAGCAAATTGCATAGAGGATGCTGGCAAAGGGGGTATGAGAAGTTTCAGCAGCAGTACCTCATGAAAGCGAATGAACTATGGCAGGAAGACCAATTTTCAACCTGGTGCTGAGCTGTGGACCAGCTGCTTTTACAATGAACTGCATGGGCCATCCTTGGTGGAGACTCTGCCAGCGCCCCACAGACTGCTCTGGATATTTCAGAAGAGCCTAAGACACAGACCCCTGCCATGAACAGCCGGGAGGACGAGGAAGAAAAGGAGGGAGGAGACTCACCAGTATGTCCAGTGATGTCACAAGCCATGACCCTTTTGAAACTTCACCACCGTGTAGCTAAATCCATCAGCCCAGCAATGACGATGCTGATGAAGAGAAAGAGACCTTGGGTAAGTGTGTGTGTGCATTTTCCCTTACAGTCTTTAAATATAAAGGTGGCACCTGGCACATCGCCACTTGTCATGACACAGGTGTTGATTTTTCATCGTTTTACTCATATGGGAAGAGGTAGCATTACAACAAACAGAGGTGGATGTGGTATGTGCTTTTCATTCCCCTGTTGGGTTATCAAGGGGGCAACGGGGAGCAGATTGTTTATGTACATAGGGATGCCCCTTGTAGCCTCCTGAGAGAGCTCAATGAAACTTTCATGGAGATACCCTTCAATCCTTTCCCAAAGGTTTCAAGGGATGGCCGATTTTCTTTCTTTCTCTGTGGTAGGATACTTTCCCAGGCCACCCTTGTGGTGAGTTTGGCTGGCACCATTGCAGTAAACAGGCTAGCAAAAACTGAGCCCTTTGCTGTTGTTACCCACAGGAATGAGATCTGCTAAAATCACCACCTGGAACATTCATGCCAATATTCAGTGCCATTTTCCTATATCTAGGGCCTTACCAAATTCACGGCCATGAAAAACATGTCACGGACCGTGAAATCTGGTCTTTTGGGTGCTTTTACCCTATACTATACTGATTTCACAGGGGAGACCAGTGTTTCTCAAATTTGGGGTCCTGACCAAAAAGGGAATTGTAGGGGATCACAAGGTTATTTTAGGGGGGTTGTGGTATTGCCATCCTTCTATGCTGCCTTCAGAGCTGGGCAGCCAGAGAGCGGCGGCTGTTGGCCGGGTGCCCAGCTCTGAAGGCAGCGTCAGCAGGGAGCCCTCCCCTCCCCGCAGCAGCAGTGCAGAAGTAAGGGTGGCAATCCCATACCATGCCACCCTTACTTCTGTGCTGCTGTCTTCAGAGCTGGGCAGCTGGAGAGTGGCAGCTACTGACTGAGGGCTTGCTTCTGCTTCTGCGCTGCTGCTGGCGGTGGCTCTGCCTTCAGAGCTGGGATCCAGGCTAGCAGCCGCCACTCTCCAGCTGCCCAGCTCTGAAGGCAGCAGCAGCTCAGAAGTAAGGGTAGCAGTACCGCAACCCCTGCCCCCCATAACCTTGTGACCCCTTTCCCCCCACAACTCCTTTTTGGGTCAGGATCCCTGCAATTATAGCACCATGACATTTCAGATTTAAATAGATGAAATCATGAAATTTATTATTTTAAAAATTCTATGATTGTGAAATTGACCAAAATGGACCATGAATTTGGTAGGCCCCTACCTATACCCATAGAATAGAGACCCGAAAATTTTGTTTCATTCAACCATAATTTCTTGTTTCTGGTGGGCTGTACTCAGTGTAGCTGGAACTGGAGAGCAGTGCTGTGCAGCGGTGCTTCAAAGCTGAAGTGTCAAAAAGTATGTCTTACTAAATGTTACTGGAATAAAGGAAGGGAGTTTTGAAGCTGATCTTTTCCTTTCTGTTGTGCTGTAAGTCCAATGATAACTTTTTTTTTATCAGCAGCAACTGCTTTTTCAGCCTTGTGGGGTGCCCCCTGATGAGGAGACTGAGGAGGACATGTTTAGTGAAATCCTGCAAGCCAATGCTGCATCTGACTGAGCAAAAGACCTTGAGAACCCTCATGGCAGACAACAGGGAGAAGGACAGAGCAGACAGAAGAGAGGCCCAAGAAAAGGAGAGGGAGATGTACCAGGACATGATGGATCTTCTCAAGCAGCAAACACAAATGCTATAGGTCCAAGTTGACCTACAGGTCCAAATACTCAGGCTCCTCAACCGATTGCAGTCCTTAGAGAACTCTGTGGTAGCAGCTTCTTACTCTCCCCCTGTTCTGCACTCCTCCCTCTCTAAGCCTGGGGAAAACGACAGCTTCACATACACCGATGTGTGAGAACCATGGTTGGTGTATGTTAAGCTACAACAGATTATGTGCACTGAAATGGATAGAAATGTTTGCTCCCTTTCCAATTTCATTCCCCCATTTAATTTATGTTTACAGTTTATATTGCATTGCTGCTTGTTTTGTACATTGTTTTTGCCAGTCAATAAATTTTCATTTTTTGAAAATAAAATGATCTTTATTAGTTCACACCATTTATTGTTGAAGGCACAAAGGTATTCAGAGCACCCAGTACTTGTAAATGTAGAGCACCACAGAATTCATAGGTTCAAGAAAACACCCAGTCATATTTATAAATGTAAAGCAAGCACCACATAATTCATAGCTTTAGTAACAAATATCATCTAAAATGTTTATAAATGTACAGCAAGTGCTATGTAATTTCTAGCACAATCCAAAACTTTAGGCCCGGAGAATAATCCAGCACAGAATGCTACTACAATTGACTATTAAAGTTTTCTTTCAAAACCACCCTCAATTGCTCAGCTCCATGTTGAACTCATGTGTTTGGTTGTTCAGTCAGCAGAGAGCTGTTCCACAACCGCCCTCCCGTGATATACAAACTTTGGCATCTGTACACCGATGTAACTTGTGTTGACCAAAGTTTGTAGACCATGGTCTTTGTCCTCTAAAATGGGAGTAGGATCCTAAAGCAAAGAGAAATGTGAAAGAGGGGTATGTGTTTAAAATTTTCTTGGTGCGGTAGTGGACTAAAGAATGAGATCTTTCTAATCCATGCTTTAGTCCTCATTATAGCAGAGTGAGAAGTCTGTTATAATGTTAATATGTTACAGCTTGTTTACAAAATGGAGCTTTGCTAGAATAGCTGTTGTGCTTTAAAATCATACCCTACTTTAATGCAATTCAGCTTTCAAGTGTAGACAAGTCTTTAGACTATAACTACTCCTTGTTATGCACATTATTATTGAGCTGTAGTATCGGTGTCTCTAATATGAATTAAAGCATATTTTTAGCTTTGTGTATATTAGATAAAAGTAGCTACACATATAACAGCTACCTTTCAGGAGTTCTGCCAATTTTTGTGGCTTTACAATTGCTTTTTTTTTTTTTTCCTTTTTTAAAAATTACTTTGCTCTCTTGTTATTGTGAAAGACCCTACACAAATGGGAGAAACTGACTACGTTTTCAAATAGCTAGCCTTCGACCACACAAAGTTGTCAAGTGCACAGGCACCCAAACTGAAAAGTAGAACTTTTTTCCCTCGTCTATATTTTATAGTGTTTAGGGCACTAGCTTAGGACTTCGGAATTCAGTTCGGTGCTCTGCCACAAACTTCCTGATGACCTTGGACAAGGCATGCAGTGCCTTAGTTCCTCATCTGTAAAATGGGGATAATAACACTTAAAGATTGCAAAGTGCTTTGAAATCTAGTAATGAAATTTCTTATTTAAGAAATAAGTGGTATTCTGTGCAACAGTAGCCACAATTTCAGATAGTGTGACTTCTTTTTAAGTTGTCCTTTTTTTTTCAACTGCTAATATGCAGTGGGAAATTTGGAGTTCGGAGCCTGTTTCAAGCATGGAGATATTTAACAATTGTTATAAAAGAGGGGTTTAAGGTCAGTCTCTTCACCTCCCACAAAATCAGTCAAGTTTACTGTGCTGTCAGTGAGCCTTTGCCAATAGTTGCAGTCAATTTTATGATGCACTATTTACATTCTAAAACCATTTCTAATCATAGTTGAGCCACAGCCGTAGTTTTACCACTGTGCAATAATATAGGTCCCCCCCATCCTGCAAACGATGTGCACAGGTAGATCCTGTGAACCTGTGCAAAGCTGCACTGAAGTTAGTGCTGATGCAGGGGACCACCTGTATGTGTAACTTTCCAAGACTGAGACCATATTTACTAAGAGTATAGATAGAAAATGCCTTTCTATAAATGTCTTAGGGGAGTAGTGCTCTTGGCTTTGATCTTACTGGCACAGGCCTGAGTGGGGGAGAAACACTTTGT